AAAGTGCCATGGGATGCCAAAAGAACCAAGAGATCTGTGTTGGAAGAAGTGTGGCCAGAGTGCTCCTTGGAGGCCTCGATGGCCAGACTTTGCCTCTCATATTTCGAACATATTGTCAGGAGGGACAAATCACTGGAGAAAGATATCATGTTTGGTAGGCTGGAGAGTCCGAGAAAAAAAGGAAGACCCCCAGCAAGATCGACTGGCAAAGCGGCAGCATCAATGGGCTCAAGCGTGGCAACGATAGTGAGTTTGGCCCAGGATCAGGCAGTGTTTTGCTCTGCTGTGCATAAGGTCGCTATGAGTCGGTACCGACTTGATGGTACCTAACAACAATAACACTGAGCTTCTCTATCATCTCTTCCCACAGAAGTACTCAATTTGATTCCTGTGTATGCCATCTGGTGAGGTCCATGTATATAGTTGCCCTTTATATTGTCTAAAAAGACATTTGTAATGAATAAGTCATTGATAAATACTGATCTTCCTTGCAGGTGTACGGGTATTATATAACATAGATCTTGAAATGCTCTCATTGACAATGAATGACACCATTTCTTCTTCAGTGTGTTGTTCCCAGCATAGTAAACCATGACTGCCTGATTTAAAACAGCCAACCAGTCCACTTCGGCTCACTAATGCCTAAAATATTGATCTTTATGTAATCTGTGTCATTTTTGACCACTTTCAAATTTCCTAGAGTCATGTTTTGTACAGGAGTCCTAGTGTGGCACTGTGGGTTAATGAGCCAGACTGGAAAGCCGTTTGAACTGCAAGGTCAGCGGGGTTCAAACTCACCAGCTGCTCCTTGGAAACCCTATACAGGGTCGCTATGGATCAGATTCAACTCGATGGCACTTCAGTTTCCCACTTTATGTCTGACAATATCCCAATATTATTTATAAGGTTTTCAATGGCTACACAGTCAGCCTGCCTCTCCTTCTTCCTGGTCTGTCCTAGTCTGGAAGCTCCTCTGAAATCTGTCCATTACTGGTGACCTGGCTAGGATTTAAAATATCAGTGGCATAGTACCCAGCATCACAGCAACTCACAAGCCACCACCAGTAAGACAAACTGATAGATAAGTGGCAGACCTAATATAAAGCTTCAGACTACTGTTGTTGTTGTAAAGTGCCTTTGAGTCATCCTAACTCATAGAGACTCTGTATGGGGTTTCTGAGGTTGCAAATATTTGAGGAAGTAGAAAGCCTCATCTTTCTCCCATGGAGCAACTGATGAGCTCAAACTACTGATTATGTGGTTCATAGTCCAATGCTTATCATACAGAAAAAGCAAATAGATACATTGACTAGATTTTATAACCTATTATTTAAAAGGATAAGTTAATCATATTAGATGCTTGACATTTAAATTTGTCTGTTTTTGACAATTTTGCTATAATGCACCATGAAAGTCCAAGGAACACATTTCCTTTAACTAAAAAATTAAGTTAGACTTCCTGACAAAGAGCAAAACTTGGCACAATGGTTTGAAAATGAAGATGGCCTTTGTCAATTAGGTTATACAGAGACACCATCCATAAAACAGTAGACCTAAACCCACAAGTTGAAGTAATTAATGAAAATATATTTAAATGATTTGGTAAGCTGTTTTCTTGGCAACGGTACAATGAAAGTTGTAATATTTTAAATGACTTCTGATGTAATAAAGTGAGCACTGGATTTGAAGGCAGACAGTCTACACTAGATCACGTTAACCCTTCTAACACGTTTGTATGAGAAACCTAGTATCTCTAATTTCTTCATAAATAAAATGAGTACATCTGCTTCATGTGATGATCGAGGGAAATAATGTTAAAGATATCTGTAAAATGGAAGATGCTATATGAAATTATTAACAATTCAAGCAAAAAATCTAAAAGGTGGAAAACTGGAAACCAAAATTTAATAAATAATAGTAAAAATTCCTGACATGTAACTCAGAGAAACCAGAATAATATTGCTTTGAAAAACTTATTGAAAACCATTCCCATCTACTTTTGTGAACAAACTGTCTCAACACTTATCCATACATAAATGAAAACTAGAGGTAAAATGTTTCTAATTCCTACCTCACTCTGACAATGAATCATAACCAACTGAGATACACAGAGTAA